TTTCAGAGGATAGAAACATCAATGAGAATCATTGATCGGCTGCCTCCTCCCACCGCGCCCTCCTCTCCCTCCATTTACCTCACACCAGGGATCAAGCCAAAAACCCAGGCACATGCCCTGAACTGTGACCTCCTGGTTCATGGGTCAATGCTCAACCACTTTTTATTTTGGAAACATCGATCTGTTGTTCCACTCATGTATTGATTCTTCTATGTGACCAGGAATCAAACCGGAAACCTTGGTATATATGCTATAACCAACTGAGCTGCCCAGCCAGGGTCTATTTTTCAAGTTAATTAATCACACCAATTTTAGTCTATTCAATCTGCAAGCCAAACAACCTCCCCTTATCAATCGTATTCTTTTTTTTAATATATTTTATTGATTTTTTACAGAGAGGAAGGGAGAGAGTTAGAAACATCGAAGAGAGAGAAACACCGATCAGCTGCCTTCTGCACATCTCCTACTGGGGATGTGCCCGCAACCCAGGTACATGCCCTTGACCGGAATCGAACCTGGGACCCTTCAGTCCACAGGCTGACGCTCTATCCACTGAGCCAAACCAGTTTCGGCAAGACCACTTTTTAAAACATGAACCTTTAGAAGAAACACTATGATAGGGAAATATCAATCCATTGCCTTCTGTACATATCCTGACTGGGAACTAAGCGAACCTGTGACCTTTCAGTGTAAGGGACAATGGGTCAGCCACACCAGCCAGGGGAAGAACAATCTTTAAAAATCCAGCTTTAGCCCTAACCGGTTTGGCTCAGTGGATAGAGCGTCGGCCTGCGGACTCAAGGGTCCCAGGTTCAATTCCGGTCAAGGGCATGTACCTTGGTTGCGGGCACATCAACAGTGGGGAGAGTGCAGGAGGCAGCTGATCGGTGTCTCTCATCGATGTTTCTGACTCTCTATCCCTCTCCCTTCTTCTCTGTAAAAAATCAATAGAAAAAAAATCCAGCTTTAGCCCTGACCAGTTTGGCTCAGTGGCTAGAGCGTCGGCCTGTGGACTGAAAGTCCCAGGTTCGATTCCGGTCAAGGGCATGTACCTTGGTTGCATCCCCAGTAGGGAGTGTGCAGGAGGCAGCTGATCGATGTTTCTCTCTCGTGGATGTTTCTATCCCTCTCCCTTCCTCTCTGTAAAAAAATAAAATATAAAAAACCCCAAAAATCCAGCTTTACTATCCAAAGGTCTATTTTTCCAATTATTTTATTGCATATTCAGCAAAAAACCTGCTTAATAAAAGCACTAGTTTGGACATTCTGAAGGGGAAGAAACCCAATATAATTTCATGGACTTCATGAGCTGTCTTGAGTTGACAGGACACTTGGATTCCAATCCTTGGTTCCCCCCTAACAGGAACTAAGCATTCAGCAAGTTAACCAACTGTGTAATGATCAATGGGACTAGAGGTCAACTTCCTCAAATCTAAGGAAGGTTTTAAAAAAAAAAATTCTGCCCTAGCTGTTTGGCTCAATGGATAGAGCACCCACCTGCAGACCAAAGGGTCCCAGGTTTGATTCTAGTCAAGGGCACGTGTGTTTGTGTGTAAGTGGGGGTGCGCGGAGGGGGTGCTTGCGGCTCAATCCCCAGTAGGGGGCATGCAGGAGGCAGCTAATCAATGATTCTCTCATCGTTCACATTTCTCTCCCCCTTCCTCTCTGAAATCAACAAAAATGTATTTTTAAGAGGGACAGAAACATCAGTGGGGGAGAGACTGATCAGCTGCCTCTTGCAACCTGGGTATGTGCCCTGGTAGGGAACTAAACCAGGTTCCTATTGATTCATGAGTTGATGCTCAACCAGTGAGCCATATCAGCCAGGCTGGCAGGCTTTTTTTAAAGGCTTGATTTTATCATTACCACTCCCAAGGGTTTGATATGTAAGTGCTATCTCCAGTGTTTAACTTAAGAAACCCAGTTAAGCACTCCAAAATTTTTATGCTCAAAATGTTTGTTGCAAAGGTGGAATTCCTAAAATTAAGACCCAAGTCATTCTGAGTGAGGTACACCTGGACTACCAAGGTGTATTTCTAGGCCTGATGCTTGGCTTTCTGTATTTCACCTCTGGACACCTCCCCATCACCCCCACACACACCATTCAATTTTGTTCCAAGTTGAGAAACCACCATATCACTGGTTACACTCCAGGGAATTGTTTGTAAAGAGGAAAGAGGTTAAGAACCTAAAAAAGCACTGTAAGACTCCAAAGATTCTTATTCCCTCAAAATACTCTTTCCGGCCCAAACTAGTTTGGCTCAGTGGATAGAGTGTCGTCCTGCGGACTGAAGGGTCCCAGGTTGATTCCAGTCAAGGGCATATACCTTGATTGTAGGCACATTTCCAGTAGGGAGTGTGCAGGAGGCATCTGATGGATCTCTCTCTCTCATAGATGTTTCTATCCTTCTCCCTTCCTCTCTGTAAAAAAAAAATAAATAAAATGTATTTTAAAGAATTCTCTTCTTGGTATGAGAAATATACTGCCTAGTGTTATTGGTATGGCAGCGTAAGAACTGCTTGTGTTAGCTTTAGATAAGAATGAAGACTTTTATCAAGTCCCAAATTAGAAAATTTCATTTGCTGTTGCAATCTTACCTTTCTCCTTATAATAATGTAGAGCTATTAGTCATTAAGATCTATTGTTGTTAGGACCCACCATCATTTGCTGCCTAAAACACCAGTGTCTGCAAGTGGCCTTAGATCAGAACCTTTTTAACTTGTTCTTTCATGCAATGTTTCTCATCAGCCAGCCCTTCTTTCAAATTTAAGGGCTCCACTTGATTCTTGGCTCTTGACTTCACATATGACTGACAGACAGGATTAGGTTTCCATTTCACTACCTGAAGCACTTGAGTGCAATGCACTACTGAGCAAGAAAAACACACACCAGTCAAGTGGTAATTATAAGCTGAGACCAAGTTCCTATACCTTGGCACACCCTATGCTTACCAAAGTCCTGACTTAATTTTGGTCACTGACAATCTCAAAATTAAATCCCTTCCTTAAACACCATTTTAACCAGTTAGGAATCCCCACATCACTACATAATTTCATGACGACAGACACCAAATATGCTACCATGCAACAAAACTTTTATTAACATTTTGAACAGATTCAGTTATTACTGAACTGGTAATTTCTAAACTTAAATTGGGGCAAATGGCTAGAATGCAGAGTAGTGCCATCACTGGCACTATGAATGCCAAACTGAAGAATTAACAGCCACCCCTCAGACGGAGGACCAGGTGCAGGGTGGACTCTTTCTGGATGTTGTAATCAGAAAGAGTGCGGCCATCTTCCAGCTGCTTGCCTGCAAAGATGAGCCTCTGCTGGTCGGGAGGGATGCCTTCCTTATCCTGGATCTTGGCCTTCACATTCTCAATGGTATCACTGGGCTCCACCTCCAGGGTGATGGTCTTGCCGGTCAGGGTCTTCACGAAGATCTGCATACCACCCCTCAGGCGCAGGACCAGGTGCAGGGTGGACTCTTTCTGGATGTTGTAGTCAGAAAGAGTGCGGCCATCTTCCAGCTGCTTGCCTGCAAAGATGAGCCTCTGCTGGTCGGGAGGGATGCCTTCCTTATCCTGGATCTTGGCCTTCACATTCTCAATGGTATCACTGGGCTCCACCTCCAGGGTGATGGTCTTGCCGGTCAGGGTCTTCACGAAGATCTGCATACCACCCCTCAGGCGCAGGACCAGGTGCAGGGTGGACTCTTTCTGGATGTTGTAATCAGAAAGAGTGCGGCCATCTTCCAGCTGCTTGCCTGCAAAGATGAGCCTCTGCTGGTCAGGGGGGATGCCTTCCTTATCCTGGATCTTGGCCTTAACATTCTCAATGGTGTCACTGGGCTCCACCTCCAGGGTGATGGTCTTGCCGGTCAGGGTCTTCACGAAGATTTGCATTTTGACCTACAGAGTTCAAAAAGCAGAAGTTAGTATACCATTTCAGGATCTTTACATTTATTACTTTTATATCTAATCAATTCTTCAAAACTTAACTCTTCTTCCAAATGCCTTAAACCATCTACATCTCTCACAAACCTCCAATTTTTTATGAAACTAGACAAGTTAATCAACCCAACATTCCTTTAAAAAAAAATTTTTTAACTCTGCCCTGGCCGGTTTGGCTCAGCGGTTACTGTTGGCCTCTGCACCGAAAGGAGGATTCCTGGTTAAGAGGATACATTGATCTCACCCCTCCTTCCACGCTCTCTGAAAAGCACTAGGAAAAATATCCTTGAGTGAGCATTAACCACAAAAAAGATTTTGTGGCACAGTGAAAGAAAAAAAATTTTTTTGAGTGTGGAAGGGCGGGAGAAGAGACAGAACATCTATGAGACAGACACATCCATCTGTTGCCTCCCGCCCCGCGCCCCAATCCGGCAGGGATCCACTCTGCAACAGAGGTTCTTGCTTTAGTCCCCTTGACCAGATTGGAACCTGAGACCCTTCAGTCCGCAGGCGGACGTTCTAACCGCCGGCTAGGGCAATTATCTCCTTTTAAAAGACCAAAAAAAAAAAAAAAATCATTACCCAATTATGTATTTTTTGTTGAATTTTAGAGAGAAAGGAAGGGGGGAGAGTGTAAAGCAGAGAAACATCCATTCGAACCCCTGGGCTCGCGCCCACCATCCTTCTTTGGTGTACGGGGTTCCCAATCAACCGAATCACCCAGCCAGGGCTAAATACGAAATTTTAATTTAGTCAAGGCTTCAACTTATACTGTAGTATCGAACGTGCTTTGTAAATTTACCATCCAGAGCTTTCTTCCTTAACCCCAGAATTTCCCCAAAACTTAAGCATAGCACCTAAAATAAAATTTAAAAAAAACCCACAGGACACGGAAAATAAAAATTCCCTTTTAAACGGAGCTGGTAAGCGACATCTGTGTTGCGATTCGAAATGAAAAGGTTTCCAGAAGTCACACTACCTTTTTTCCGCCTTCCCCCTCTGAAACAGACACGATGGAACCGCCATCGGTTAAGCGTCTGTTGGCCCCTCTCCGCGCGCGCCAACCGCCCCCGCTCCCTTCACGTAAACAAGGCCCACCTTCCGGAAAGGCCCGGCGACGCGACGCCGCGTCAGCTCCTCCCCTCCCCCCACCAAGGCGCACCCAGCCCAAGACCCGGCCAGTTTCCTCTCACTTCAGTTCCCTCGGCACCGCCTTCCCTCCAACCCCGGCCCCCGCCAGGTCTCGAAGGCTGCGGGCCAGTACCTGTTAGCGAGTGCGAAAATGCCGCAAGGCCAAACCCGTCGAGTCTCCTCAACAGCGACACAGCCCCTACAACGTCTGGCGCGTCTGCAAGTTCCGGCTAGGCGGAGCTGAAATTTATGCAGCGTCTGTTGTGGGCTAATCACTCCTACGTAGCCGCCGTGTCCGTGCGCCACTGAAAATAGTTCTCTCGGCCGCACCTCCCGCGACGCAGTTAGATCCTTCCAAGTAGGCCCCAAACTCCTCAGAATCTGGAAAAGGGGCCCTAAAAATTATTTTCCTCTCTATTCCAGGCTGTCCTTCTCCTCCTTTAGGAAAAAGTAGGAAAGTTATCAGGCGGATGAATTCGAGTTGAGGGAACCGTCCTCGAAAGCTCTGGAAACTTCCTTGCGGCGCCGGCGCTGATTGGTGAGGTGGGTGAAGACGAGGCCGGCGGTGATTGGTTGCGGGCTGGGCGCTCCGCTGTTGCTGGGCTCGGGGCAGAGAGAGCCGACGTTGCTAGGTGACTGAGTGCGCGTGCGCCGCAGAGTCGCGCCTCCGGGACGGCAGGGCGTTTCCGGTTGGAGATGGGGGAGGGGTACCAGACCTGAAAACGGCGCGTTGCGGTCTTACGCGGAGGGAGCCGGGGGCTCCGCGGAGGCTTTTCCGGGAAGGCCGCCCCGTCTGGCCCGGAAGTCTCGGGAGCCGGGCGGGGGCCGTGTCCGCTGTGAAGCGCAAGCCCACCGCCCGAGGCCTGAGGAACCCGCGCCCGCACGCCGGCGAATTATTGTTGCTCATGATTGTGGAGCTTTCCTCGCGCCTCTTTAGAGTCGGTGCCTTTGTTCCCGGCCCCTCACCGCCGCCAGGGGTTCCCGGACCGCCCCTGCCTCAGTGGGAGGGGGCCGCCCCGGCGCCATCCTTGCCTTCGCATATAAGTGAATCTATGCGAGAGGCCTTGATGCGTTGTGAGAAGCCAGTTTATTAAAGCTGCACCTTCACTGAAAAAGCAAGTCAAGCAAACTGCGTCCGGCTTGAGGCACAGACGGGGGAGGTGCTCACGCCCTCCGGTCTGTGGCCTTCCCGGAACTTGGGAGACGCGCCCAGAACTCCATGTTGACCGCTGGTCCCCCGCTTAGGGGTGAAACTGCCCCTCCCTCTCTGCGTTCTCTCATGAGGGTTTTTGGGGTTTTTTAAAATCATTTCTCTAGTGTTGGGGTGATAATGGCTTGTTCGTTACCAGCTGGCTGCACATGGCCCCACTGTTTGGCTTGTTTTCGCTTTCCCGTCAGTTCCCCTGTCCCCCGGCCCTGGAGCCGTCACACGTTCGTCACACTTTCCTCTGCTCCATCCTCATGAAGTTCGGGCCGCGTCTGTGGATGAGACCCCCTGAGGGGCGCCCTCGGCGGGACCCCGCACCCCCACTCTTC